AGTGGAGACGTCAACTGTTAACGAAAAAATGGCAACAGATGACAGATGTCACTGAGAGCCAATCGAAGTTTTGTTCAAGAAGTACATAGTTTAAAAACGAGAAATCCCGCTAGCACCGGAGGAATTTTCAAGCCAAGCGGTCCAAAAATCCCGGTTCTCGAGGACTGCAAAAGAGAGGAAGAGGAAAGGTTGTTGATTCGGGAAAGCAGCTGAGATCTCGTCTGGAGAAAGAAACTGGAAACAGCGTGGGGGAGTGGATTCACAGCGCAAACCTACCCTCATAGGCCTTTCATATTCCGCATGAAACTTGATGCTAAGGGGGAGTTAATAGAGAAAGAAAAATTTCTTTCAAATGCCCCGTTTGATTATTTAAACTGACTAAAATCGTCCATGAGGCGAGCTTTCGCGCCGAATTCGGCTAACCCCAAATGTAGGAAAGAATTCAAAAAAAAAAAACCCTCAAAAGCTACCTGTCTCAAAACCAGAGGTATGAGGCGTAACCGTCGCACTGACAAGCCATGTTAGTTTAAATCTTTTTTTAAAATTCATTCTCACTTTTTTTTTTTTAAATTCCCATTCTCACACCCGCTAATCCCACAATCATAGCGTTTCCCTTTCTCTCCTTTCGTTTCGCTCTTTTCTCTTCCTTTTCCATCAAGCACTGCGACCATCATCCTGACGAGGTCCAGTCGTGGTGTTGAGTTAAGACGTATATGATTTAATGGGTCGAAACGTCTTATCTCACTCTTACCCTCTTTTCTCTCTTTTCTGTGTTCTATCGCCACTTATGCTTCCAAGGTTAACCTGGATGCTACAATCGGCTTTTCATATCACTTATCATTATTGTTAATACACATCCTACACGCACATATTTTACCAAACAAAAGAGCCCAATGCTCGTTCAAACCGACATCATCAAGCCACTTATTAATAACTAGCAATGCGCACCAGACTAGCCGGTGCGATCATATGTTTTGTGCACTTCGTTCACCGAACGATTGCCTGTTAACGATTTTCACTGCTTTGTACTTTAGTCTATGCAAAAATAGTTGAAATGTCTCACTCACCGACACATGAAATCTCACTCACCGACACTACCGCAAAACTGCACCTTCTTGGCTTTTATGGTTCCTCATAAATTCCCCACCAAAATTTTCACGGGGCCGTAGCTGATACCCGACAGCGCGAGAACTCTGCATTTGAATGTGCAAGGTCGTACCTGGGCAGGGGGTCATTGCTCTAAAATTTCAGCCCCCTAGATTCCGTGGTCCCCGAGGTGATAATTTACCCGCTAAAATTTCTATGGGGCTGTAAGCGATACCCGAGAGTGCGGCAGCACTGAATTTGAATCTTCAAGGTC